GAGGTGCTGTGCAAAGAAAGATTGGGCACAGAGTCTCTGAGATTCATGGACAGATCTTCATACTCCTGAAACAAATCTAATGACCAAATGAATTAATTGTTTCCTGCAAAAGCCCGCTCCTCTTTTGCTCTTCTTTTATGTCCTATGGGAGGGGCCCCGTCTCTGCCTCCGACGCAGAGTCTTTGTCTAAGCCTTCCCTGCCTCCAGGACTGGCCCATGCTCCTACCTAACCTCCTCACTATCCGACTCTGCTGCCAGAGAGAAGATAACAATGAAACCATGCTATTAGGAAACATAACATAACCTGTATGTATTCTCATGTGAACAAGATGGGTTGAGAAGAATTCATAAGACAATAGATTAAGGAAAATAGTACGGAAGGCTTTAGTAGTATGTAAGAAAGTATCCAACAACCTTTTGTGACTCAATTTTCTTATGGGTAGACATCAGTGGTCTTAATTCTCCTTTAATATTTTTTTATTCAAAACTTTGTTAAAATAGCTCAGTTTCTTAACTGTTTTAAGAAACACAAACATATTTAAAGTTTAAAATAACTTGATTTAGGAGTTTCAATTTTATTATTGTACACATTTTGAAATCAAATATGTGATCCTCTAAACTAATGGAATTCTTAAGTTCAGTAGCATAAAACTCACAAATAGGTATCAGTTATACATTTAAGTTTTTCCTGTCAACTACAGTTGACAGCCAATATTATGAACCTTATTTGAATATTTGTATATGCATTCGAAATTTTAAAAAATGTAGACGTCCTGTTCTTACCACAAATCAGGTGTGCTATAACAGCAAATTTAATAACATTTTGCTAAAAACTAATTGGGTTCAGTCATAAGTGTTGTAAACAAGTTTATCATTTAGCATTTTATGTAAAATAAACTATTATGCTTTAGTTCAGTAAGCCATTGTAAAACAAGCTGTGCTATAAAATAATGTGGGACCCAGATATTAACCTGCAGCTTTTCACACTATACAAGAAAAACTCGGTTTGTCAGCCTCCTCACCAGCAGCCTTGCAGACTGTACCTCTATGCCCTCGGATCCGGGTGGAGGGGAGGGCTGTTCCTCAGAGGGAATGTGCTGCCTCATCATCACTGCCTGCCTACAGCTGATCCTCTCTGCATTTGTGAGGGCAAGCAGCTCCCTGTCCAATCGACTACCTTCCCAAAACCAGAGGGGCCTTTGATAGCATCCTCAGCTCCTGGACTCCAGTCATTCCAGGGGAAACTTGCCATCCCCATCAGATGGTCCCGATTCCAACCACTACTCCTCTGTACCAGAATACAATGGGTCCATGCTAGTTTGCTTAGCAGTGGTTCAAATTTACAACAACGTTGGAAAAAGTTACTTACAACCTTTCCTTGAAGTTATGACTTTTGAGTGCTTGATAGCTGGCTTGCATTTTTGATAATTGTAGCATCCCAATTGTAGTATAAGTTGAGGACCACCTGTAGATAGATGAAATAATTTGCCATTTTTCATTTATGGTACTTTTGGATATCTTTATTGAATGCTTTGAGCTAAAACAGTTCAAATTATTACAATACAACATAATTCTATGTTATTCATTCCTTAGTCATATATGCAGTATTTTTATCTTGTATTTCGTTTATACATTTTTTGCTGCTATACTGAGCAAAGTTCTTGTTTCATGTGTGCCTAGGTACTACAGGTAATCCTTGACTTAACGACTATTTGAAGTAATAATAGTGCTAAACAAAGGGACTTAATACCATTGCCCAAAGTTGTGATAGTTATAACCCCTCTGCATCCCTGGGATTGCACTCTGGGTGCTAAGTGGATGCCAAGTGTCCTAGGATCATGTAATCACCATTTGTAGTCTTCCCCTGCCACCTTCCCCAAAAGTTCAATGGGGAAGCTGGCAGGGAATGTTGCAAGCTGCTGCTGCTTGCTGAGAGAACTCCCTCATGTTTCTTGGGACTGGCTAAAAAAGCTCCATGCTGAAATTCAAGCAGCACTTTTGCACAGGTGATTTCGGCCAATCCCCTAAGAATAAAAGGACTCCCTCTCATCTCTGGAAGAGGATTAGTCTTTTCCCCTCCCAACAAGCTCCTCCCCCCATAGTTCACTATGGCAAACTGGCAGAGAATATGAAGCTCAAGCCTATGATGGCAGTGACAAGGATAGTGCTGGGCCTCCCTCACTCCCCTGAGGGACTGCATACTCCTTATCTGAAACTCCTCTCAATGACGTGAGATCGCTTAAAGATGGCAACTGGAAGTTCCATAATAGTATTTGTTAAGTGAAGCAGTCATATGACATCTCATTTAATGTGATGACATTCTGGTTCCAATTGGGGTCATGAGTCAAGGATTATATGTGCCTTCCACATATTTTGGAACCATCAAGTCCCAATGGCAATTCAGGATTTATAACATTTCAGTTTTTAATATTTTCTGAAAGCATGCATTTTAGAGGAAAAGTGTTTGAAAGTGCCAATGGTAGGACAGAGAAACAGTATCTAAGAGCTTACTCCAAAAAAGTAGAAAATTATTAGAAAATTCTCTTTGGAACTTCATAGCAGGTAGGTCAAGATTGGATGAAAGGCAATCCTGGAAATAACTCCGCAACAAGCAGGACTTGAACAATCAAAAACAAAACTTTGAGTTGCACATGAAAGCTAATACTAGGCTCTAGCACATTGAAGTCACATGATCATAGTACCAAGTACTACCAACATGTAGTGCTGCACTATGGACTGGTTGAATCTTCTGAATGTTCTTCAAAAGTGGCATATGTAACAGCAGTCCAAATGGATGGTGGTGAGAGTGTGAGACACTCTTGCAAGATCATTTAATTCTATATAAGGTTGCAAAGGGCTATAGTCTTAACCTGCCTATCTAGTTGGGAGTCCAGAAAAACTCTTAATTTAAAAATTAAATTAAAAGTAAAAATTAAAGTAAAGACCTTCTTCAGGGGCATCATCACATTGTAATAGATAAAACTGATGGATGAAATAGTAATTTCATTTTACTTGGGGCCTGTTTAGGGCCCATTCAAACTTCATAGAGTCCAGAAACTGGATCAAGGTCTTGACGGCAAGGTCTCTATTACTGCTTGGGATAGCAGTATATAATTGGGTATCATCAGCATAGTTATACCACATAAACCATTAGAGAACCCCTAGTAGCCAATTGGCCAATTTAAACAAGGTAAGTTGGGTGATAACATATCAGTGCAACGAGGGAAGATAACTAGTTAGGCTTCTCCTTCCTTACCACCACAGACTAAGCTCATACTCAGCTTATACCATGCTCCTGGATTCGTGTTCCCTTAGCAATACTCTAGGTGTGTCTTTCTACTGCTTTATTTTCTAGAAGACCTCAGTAAACCAAACATTTGCAAATTGCTATTTCTGGAATAAAACCCCTGGTTATAAGCAGGATGCTTTTATTTCCATTGTCCCTCCCCAGTTGCATCAGATAAAAGGATTTGAAACCTGGAAAGATAGATCTATAAGAGGGAGAGATGATTGCTTTTGCCAAACCTGGATTTAATAATACTAAATTTAATATAAATTCACATGCACAAGCAAGTCATGATGATGAGAGGTTTTACTGGAAACACACCTGGCATTTACTATCAATAGCCTGATTTTGTATTACTTGTAGTAAGTGAGCCAGGGGTTGGGAAATAAAATAAGTGGGTGGTCAAAGTGTATGTATAAAATATATTTCTTATCTGTTTGAAATGTGGACAAGATAGTTTCACAGTCACTAACTATAAACAGGCATGGTCCAGATTTTTCTTATACCATTCACACTTTTTAGGATTTGCCTCATTTTTATTTGGACATTTGATTTAGAGTATTAAATTAAGATTCTTTCTTACACATTTCAGGAACAGGAGTGTGGTTTTGTATTTTCTTTAACATGGTTCATGAATATACCGTATTTTTTGGAGTATAAGATGCACCGGAGTTTAAGACACACCAAGGTTTTGAAGAGGCATTTTTTTAAAAGTAGGTAGGTAGATAGAGGGATAGAGAGAGAGAGAAAGAGAGAGAAATACAGTAGGTAGGTAGGGAGAGAGTAGGTAGGTAGGTAGATAAAGAGATAGAGAGAGAAAAATAGAGAGAAATACAGTAGGTAGGGAAAGGGGGGGTAGGTAGGTAGGTAGGTAGAGGGATAGAGAAATATATAGAGAGAGAAGTAGATAGGGAGAGAGAGTAGGTAGGTATGTAGGTAGATAGAGGGGGAGAGAGAAATACAGTAGTAGGGAGAGAGAATAGGAAGGTAGATAAAGGGATATATATAGAGAGAGAAAAATACAGTAGATAGGTAGAGAGAGAGTAGGTAGGTAGGTAGGGAGATGTTTCCAGGTGTATTTATCCATGTGCTGGAGAAGGAAATAGCTGACAATCTGCAGCACCTAAGAGTGTGTTTCTGCACAGCACTTGATCAATGTAATTCTCATCCATCAGTTAAAGAGCTTTCCAAAAAGGGGGGGAAAGTTTTTGCACTCTGCAAACCTCCCAAAAACGGCCCATTTTTTTGTGAAAATGGACCTGTTCTCCCCCCCCCCCAAAAAAAGTCATGAATAGCCTGGGGGGGCTTGCAGAGTGCTCTTGGGGAGGTGGGGGGGGCAAAAATGAGCAAAACATGGCCCATTTTTCACGAAAATGGGCCCGTTGTGGTCAAAAAAATTATAGAGTGCTACTGGGGACTGGGGGGGGGGCAAAAACAGCCAGTTATATGCTCATTTCTGCCCTCCCCAGCCCCCAGGAGCTCTCTGAAAGCCTCCGTAAGGGTGTGCACGGCCATTTTTGTGAAGAGGCGGGGATTTATGGAGGCAAAAAATGCTGTATTCAATGCATAAGACACACCCAGATTTTCAGCCTCCTTTTTGAGGAAAAAAGGTGCGTCTTGTACTCTGAAAATACGGTAATAGCAAAACATGTCAGTCTCTTGGAAAGATGTTCTTCATGCAAGAGATACTGAGCACGTTGTTTTTCCTTCCCAGCTGTCAATAGCAGAGTGCCTACCGGTTCCAATTCCTCACATGTCATGGATTCGGCTACACCTGAGTCCTGTTCACAAACGCTCAGTATGACTTCTCAGTCTGTGCTTCCTACATACCCTTCTGTTGATATTGATGCCCATGTGAGTAATGTTGTTTACTGATACAGCTATATATTTTGAAAACTATTTTGGTTAAATGATGCAATAATTATACAATGTAATATAATTGAAATGCATTTTTTCCAATCTTAAGACGGAGAGTAATCATGATACTGCACTGACGCTTGCATGTGCTGGTGGGCATGAAGAACTTGTCTCTGTCTTGATAGCACGAGGTGCCAGTATAGAACATAGAGACAAAAAGGGTAAGCTATTAAAGTGCTGCTATTTATCATTGCTTTTATTTTGAAATTATGCATATACAATCAAGCATCCCATTGGTTTATCATAATTTTCTGATGACTTGCAACATTGGTGTTTTTTCCTAGCTGATGATAAGTATTTTGGCAGCAATTTTTTTTTTTTATATGTAATTTCAAGCCTTAATTAAATGAGGGGTTAGAGTTTCAAAAACACATTGCTTCTGTTTCTCCCAAATGTTCGATCACAAACTCAGAACTTTTATTTCATTTTGTACATAGTGATCTTGATTGCTACTCTGTATTGTGAATTACTGTATTACTGATTTTGAAACACTCTGGTTTTACTGTCAGCATAACTTAACTTTGATTCTTGTTTTCCAAATGGCTTCTAATAATAGAATCATTTCTGTTAGGGTTTACACCACTAATTTTAGCTGCAACTGCTGGACATGTTGGTGTTGTAGAAATACTTCTAGATAAAGGTGGAGACATAGAAGCCCAGTCTGAGCGTACTAAGGACACACCACTTTCATTAGCATGCTCTGGTGGCCGTCAAGAAGTAAGTGTTAACATTTAAAAAAAAACAACTGTACATATGTTTTTGTTTAACTACTATAGTCATAGTTTGGAAAAACGGGATCTAACATCCTGATAGTATGTCTCCTCATTTGGTACAATATTTTACTGCATATTATAATTAATTGCATTTCTTAGATTATGAAAGCATGTATTGATTCTCCAAACCCACCCAGGTTGGGTGGACATCATCCCCTTAGAATATATCCACATATTCTGTATGCTTCAAAAATAAACAGTTTCCTGTATCCACAGCATGTCCACAGATGCTTCCCTTAATGTTCTCCAAGTTCTTTGCTCTATTTCACTTTTTCATTTTATTATAACCATTTTTTTAAAAAATGGGAATCTTGCATGCTACAAACAAAAAACAGTCTTTTGAATATAAAAATGCTGGATGCAAGTTGTATGTTAAGCTTTTAATTGTTTCCACTTGCATCCTCCCTCCAGGTGAATAGGACTGAGGGAGGGGTTTAGTCTAGGGTTCCCTAAAGTAGTCCATATCAGCCCCAAGGGACTATCCAAAGGGTTGATGTTGTTATTATTTATAGTATTATTAGTGTAGATAGCGTTTATTAAATTATTTTCATATAATAAACTGTTGGAGATTGATGAACAACCTGAAATTTCATGAAGGAAGTCAATGAGCTAAAGAGATTTAAGGAATAGCAAGTGGCATTCTGGTTATTCAATGCTTTGTAATTAATTATGATCTCTGTGGACCATTTTATGATTTAGCAATCCTTCCCTTTCTGCTATATTGCAAGACTACAACAGTGAGTTTTCAAAACTTCAGATCTGCCAAGTAATCCAAAAAGATTGTGAAACCTCAGTTAATTCTGAAATTACATGGAATTTATGAGCATTATACATTCCATGTAATTTCTCAGATTAATATGAGTCTCCGATGTTTTAGGACTGACTTCTTGCACATATTTTTGCAGCAATTTTAAAAAACAGTCCCGCAGTCCATTCTATAATATCTATTCATAAAATGGGAATTCAGTAAGGCAGTAGTATGAAAAGTGAAGATTTGACCTTAACCTGTTTGTTTGTTTGTATCCTGCCTTTATTATTGTTACAAATAATTCAAGGTGGGAAACAAACTTAGCACGCCTTCCTCCTCCTATTTTCCCCATAACACCAACCCTGTGAGATTGATTGGGCTGAGAAAGAGTAACTAGCCCAAAGTCACCCAGCGGCTTCATGGCTAAGGCAGGACATTAACTTACTATTTAGTTATATATACATCATAATTTTTCTATGACATTTTCCATACTTTTGTTATGTCCTGGAGCAGTGTTGCAAGATTTAAAACTCAATATTTATCCTGAGCACATTGGTGCTATTGTCAACTTCTGATAGTGTTAATAATATTCCATATTTCAGGTGGTAGATCTTCTCCTAGCACGAGGAGCAAACAAAGAACACAGAAATGTATCTGATTATACTCCTCTAAGTCTTGCTGCATCTGGTGGATATGTTAACATTATTAAGATACTACTCAATGCTGGAGCAGAAATTAATTCAAGGTAATTGGTTTAGAAAGATTTTGGATTATCTGATGAATATAACATAAAGTAGGGTTGAATTCCACAGATTTGTTGCTTTTATCCATTCAGACATACTAAACAAACCTGGTGATTGGTAGATGAGCTTTTTTAAAATGGTAATTTTATTTTTAAAAAATTACAATTACAGTAATAAAATATTAGTGCAAACTACAAACAAAAGAATATGAAAGAAAAAATGGTTGAAAAAAAGAATATAAGAATATAATAAAGAAAAATATATGAAGAAATGATCTATATCATCACAAGTGTAAACCTTTTTAGTAACTTAAATCCTTCTCTGAAAATAGAACAAATGATCTCTTATTCCCATATGCCATCTCTTATCTATAAACAAATAGATACAAACAAATCCTTGCATTTTAGTCCTAGTGTCAGCAAAAGTCCATTAAGGATTACTAGAGATGATAACATACTTATTTTAACCTTAATCAAATAAACCAATTTTATATTCCTTCCTTTTGCTTCTAATGATTTATTCATTTCAAATAATGTCCCAGAACTTAATTTTTTGCCTCTACTCACAAAATTCTTTGAAGTTTTAACAAACCTCTTTTATAAAGCCAATGTAGGAAAAATTATTTGTATATCCTTTTTCATTATTAAGACATCAGCCAATTGCTTTTGTATGTTCAGTGCAACATCTGTTTCCATGTGATTCTGGAAACCTGCCATTTTCAAATCTACTTTCAAATCAAACTCAGTCTTGCCAGATAAAACTTGTTCTTCTTCCATTAATATTTTTTTAATGCAGACTGTAGAAGCAGACTCTCCTAAAATTAATTTGACTCCATTGTTCAACAATATTCTTTAAAATGTCCAAAAATGTTTTGCTTCATTCTGTTTTGATAAGTTGAAAATTGAATGTTCTTTCATTGTAACCATTAGTTTCTTTGATTTCCTACTAGTGACTAATTTTTAAAGCATCAGTATTTTTTCAAAAAACAGAATTTTTTTGAAAAAAAATTCCCCACAGGAAGGGTTCTTCATAGTTAATCATAGTTTATTTCAAATTTATCTGAATCCTTAGTTCATTCAAACCTTCTGAAATCAACGTTTTAATCACCCTTTTGCTATTTATTCTCTCTTTTTTTCAAGTCCATAGACATATTTAAAACTGTAACTAAAAATAGAAGGAAATTCATTCTCTACTATAAAACCTGTTGATCCAAAGGTTCCAAAACAGTTAACAAGTAATTTCCAAAAGTGGTTAGAATAGAACGTATGCAAACCCAGTGTCCTTTCCAAGACACAGATTTCAGCTTAAGCAAGATGACTATTACAGTCTTTTCGCAACGAACAACTAACTGCCTGTGTACCTCTGGTTGTTCTCTCCTTGTTCAAAGATGTATTTTTGAAGAACCACTGCTACTCACTGGCTCTTCATTCAACTGTTGCCCTTGACTCCACTTTCCATGAGCTATCTTTAGTTGCTGTTGTGATTTGTAGATATGCTGTGCCATGATTTTCAGAATTTCATCCAGCACTTATATGTTGCTAGCATTCTTAGCATATTTCAAGTACTTTTTGTTCTTCGTTTCCATTACTTTGTGTTTCAAAATCTAGCTGATTTTTATATAATGCACTTTCCAGCAGTGAAATGAGGATGTATTTTATTACACAACAGTCAGCTTTTCATAAAATAATTATATTCTAGAAATATTTGCCTCTACATTTGTCTAAATTATGTCATTGTTATATTTGTATTTATTGGCTTTCTTTTTTAGGACTGGGAGTAAATTGGGCATTTCTCCTCTGATGCTGGCAGCTATGAACGGTCATGTTCCTGCAGTAAAACTATTGCTTGATATGGGTTCTGATATTAATGCCCAGATTGAAACCAATCGGAATACCGCACTTACTTTAGCCTGCTTCCAAGGCAGAGCAGAGGTAGTCAGTCTGCTTTTGGATAGAAAAGCCAATGTTGAACATAGAGCAAAGGTAAGCAATCAATAGATTTCTTTCTCAATTGAACTTTGATGAGCATGATCTTGTAATAAAAATTAAAATTGGGGATTGTCTAAAGGAAGTTGCCAGTCACCTTACCTTTAGAGGTTCACCTGAGTGACCTCAGGAACATGGAGTGATTTAAACAAAGAGGACTATGGGTTGGATGCCTATAGGCAATTTACCCATGATATAAAACCCACAATATAAAATATTAAAGCAATAAATATTTAAAATTAAAATTACCAAAAAAGTAGCCAATATATAACAGGGTGAAGATGGAGTCTTTTCTTGATCCACTAACCATCTCCAATATGGCATACCCTTCCCCCCCATAAGGACTCAGGCCAATTGTTTGAGCCAAGTTTAAAGCCCCGCCAGAAGGCCCAGGGGCTGGGGTAAATTTCACTACACAATATTCCAAAAGCCGGGAGCCACAACACAAAAGGCTGTTCTCCTGGACCCAATCAGCTGGAATTCTTTGACTGACAAGTTCTGCACCAGGCTCAACAATGCACAACATACACATTTTTAACAGACATCCTTTTATCATCTGTAGATGAAATGGGTGACACACAAATATAATACATACATACATTCTTTATCTTCTAGCAGTATTCATGCACACTTATGGAAGGAGATTATGTATGCACTTTTAGCAGCAAACATTATTTGGAAATGCTTAGAAAACATAATCAAACCTAGTGCTCAGAGCTCCACATTAGTTGAGAAGCAAATGATTTTCATATTTAATTTACCCATTGATTTAAGATCCCAGGAGACTTCCTCCTAGGAGACAACATCTGTATTAAAGTCCAGCATAAATGAAAGGCTGATGATTACATAATATTGCTTTTGGTGGAAAGGTCTATCAAGGTTCTGGTATTTTCAATACATCTAGGAGTATTGTCCTGGTATACACCCGGTTTACCAGAAAACAAGACATAACTAAAAAAAATAAACCCTAGCATGTTTTTACGTGTGAGTCTAATATAAGCCCTGTCACCAAAATAAGCCCTACTTAAGAGCCTGCATAGTCAGCAGCCTGCCCATTCCATCTGGTTGCTCACAGTGCCGCAACAGCAAGGCATGGTGATGGTGGATCTGCCCCACGCAACCTGCATTGCCTTACCTCAAGGCCGCCACAGCCAGGCCATCAACAGCACAACACTTACTTTGTGATGGCAACACCAGAGGCCATGTGAAACAGCAGCCAATATGGCCGCTGGCCCACTTCTGCTTACTTGCGGCTGCAATGGAGCAGGAGGCTGAGTGGTGTGTTGGTGCTGCAAAGCAAAGCAGGTGTCCGGGTGTGGATGGCGTGATTGCCGGAGTGCTGAGGTAAGCCAGTGCAGGGCACAAGAGGCAGCTCCTCCCCCTGCCTCACCTCTTGACCGCAGTACTGACGCATCACTTGGCCTCCTGCTCCATTGAGGCCACGAGCTAGCAGAAGAAGTGGGCCAGCAGCCAAACAGGGTCCTACTGGACAGAGCTGCCAAAACCACCACTGTGAGGCGTGTGTGTAGCCTGGTGGGGGCCTTGAGGTGAGCCGGTGCATGGTGCAGGTCCATCTCCCTGCCTCACGACAGCAGCACTGGCACACTGCATGGCCTTCTGCCCCACCTTGAGCAAGCCGAAGTCGGCCTCCCATACATGGGAAAAAAATAAGACACACACCAAAAATAAGCCCTGGGCCCAAAAGAAAATAAGACCCAGTCTTATTTTGGGGGAAAGATGAATACTGAACTCTAGGAAGAAAGGGATTTTCCTTAATTTATATGTAGAGACTTTGGAAGAGTGATTTTTCTATTCTATGTTATAGATATTCCAAAACAAAATGGGTAGGTAACTGATAGAAAGATAGTATTGTATATTATGAAAGAGTTTAGCTACCCTCTTTTAATGTTGATTGGACTCAAGTGGCTTTGGACTTGGAAGTGAAAAGGGTTAGTAGTAATTTATTCATATAAGTTTGAATTTCAAGCAAGTTATTTTAAACAGACTGGACTCACGCCTCTCATGGAAGCTGCATCGGGAGGTTATGCAGAAGTTGGAAGAGTTCTTCTTGATAAAGGAGCAGATGTCAATGCTCCTCCTGTGCCTTCTTCAAGAGACACTGCTTTAACTATTGCTGCAGATAAAGGCCATTACAAGTTTTGTGAACTCCTGATTAATCGGTATAGTATTTTCTGTTATATTAGAATTGCACAAGTTGAACTACATGCAATTTCTCCAACCAGTCTGATCTGGCCCCGCCCTTCATTCTACTGCTTAACTTCAGTGGCAAATTTGCATTTCTTTGTTTGTCCTCCCCATGCTTTCTATCCTTGCCCTCACATATTTGTCACTATTGCTGTTGCCTTTCTAGGTTTTGCCCTTTAATTTGTGTGTCAGAGCACCCTTGCACCTTGGCCAAAGCAAAACCTTTTTCAGCAAGTATGTTCTGTGCCATCATTGGCCAAAAGAGAACCATTTGTATAGGGCAAACGCAAACAGATTTCTTTTTGTTTAGAAATGAGTCCTTTGTAATAAGGAAATTTGTGAAATTTGCCTCAGCTGACCTACATTTAGGGGTTGTTTCTATGTTGTTGTAACTATTGGCCCTTCCCATTTAAGACCATTTCCCAGGTTTTTGTAATTTGTTTTTTCAAAGGTATAAATGCATGCTAGGCACTTTATTCCTCTTTCATTTATTCCATCTTTATTGGCCTGCCTTATCTCTTCATTGTATTGAATGATCATTTAAGGAATTTCCCCTTACCCAATTTAATTTAAAACTGAGAGATGGTAAAAGAAGGGAAAATCAGTTTCCACACTTCAAACTAATGATCTCAAGTCAGGAAGCTGGGAACTGCTAAGTGGAGAAAATAAGCTAGATATTACCCATTCACAGTTTCAAATCCACAATGATTTTCCATTAGATTTCTATAAGGCAGAAAATCCTATAACTAAATAAATTTTATAACTAAATAGGGATACTGCGAATGTTATTATAGGGGATTGTAGAAGTGGGTTATTCTCATAAATTAAATTTTCATTAAATTATACTCTTTATTCATTAGTTTCATTTCTATAACCAGATCTAAATAATTTAAGTTATAGTAATTTATTTTTCATTTATATGCTAATACCCCAGTACTTTTTGAAGTATAGTTTAGAGGCAAATCTGAATTATTATTTATATTTGGCCTTTATTATTTTTACAAATAGCTCAAGGTAATAAATATATTCAGTACACCTTCATCCTCCCATTTTTCCTACAACAACCACCATATGAGATGATTTGGGTTAAGACAAAGTCTCTGGCCTAAAACCAGATTCTCCTGTGCACTGCTTGGAGAGTCCAAGCATGGGTTAAATCAGTCTGGTTGCCCTAGGACTGAATTAAAATACTTTAGCCACGCCTCCTGTTCCTCCTTAAGGCAAGAGCGCAAATTGAGAGAGTTCCAGCTGTTTTTGGAATATTAGGCTTGGATTCCCAATTGTGGACAGGTTTGTTATTTTAGCTTTTTATTTTTCCTTCATTTTCTGGGGTTTTTTTTTGTTTTTGTTGTGGGAAGGATTTTTTGCCTTTGCGGATTTTTGTAGATCTGAGGCATTATTCGTGTTGTTTCAAGCAGGATCAATTGGGTGGAAGGTGACATCGTCCACCATAGGCTGAGAGCATGCATCACCCTGGCATATGAGCATCAGTCCAGGACAGTTCCACGCAACATCATTGCCCACTCCACGAGGAGTGTGGCCACGATGGCAGCTTGGGCTACCCAGGCAACAATAGAGGACATTTGTATGGCAGCGACATGGTCATCCCCCTCTCTGTTCGGAACTATAAATTGGACACCTTTGCATCAGCCGAGGCTTTGTTTGGCAGAAGGGTGCTACAGCAAGTTCATTTTGCAGCCGAACACTTGTCCACCTCTTCTACCCGCCCTGGGAACAGTTAACTTTCAAACTTTAATGGAATTTGTATGCCGCCCACTCCCTAGGGACTCTGGGCGGCTCACAACAAGTAAAAGCATTTA